ATATGTACACTAATTATAACATAATATAAATAATCTCTAAGTAATTTTTAAATAATAATAATATATAAATCACGATTTTAATGAAACTTGTGATATCTTATAAATAAAATTATATAATAATTATTAAATTAAGTAGTAATTGTCTACGTACATCAATTAAAATAAGTACTAACTGGGATTTTTCAAATTAAAAAAAAAAATAGATAATGCATATATTTACAAATTAAATGATATATGAATGAATGTAAATTACAACGCAACATAAATAATGTCAAATAACTTTTAGACGATAATAACATATAAATCATAGTTAGAATGAAACTTACCATCTCTTATAAATGAAATTATATAACAATTATTAAACTAAGCAGCAATTAATTTCATTAAATACTTTATAGATTTCTTAAACCTATTCAAACATAATATTTATCAATTAATCAATTGTAATTTGTTTACATTATCGTGTTATAGATTACATATAAATAATACCACCACCCATCTACTTGATTTTTTAAAAGTAAATAATACATATATTTATCAATTAAGTGATATATATATATGCACACACATTAATTATAACGTAATATCAATAATATCAAATATAGCTTTTAAATAATGATATACACGGACATCACAACCCGAGCTAAACTCAATTTAACTTAAAATTGTTCTAAAATAAAAACTAGCTTTTGACAAATTTTTTTTTTGTAATAACTTGACTGTAAGTTATATAATCAATAATTATGTAACGCTCCGTTTTTTTTTTCTTCTTTTCACGTTGGGCATAATTAACAAAGCAACCAATTCCATAGTCAATCGGTCAAGCACAAGGAAACACTATCACAATCCCTTATTCAATGATCAAGGTAAATCCACAATCATGCACAAGGTATCACACACAATACAACCGTACTCAATGGCTATGTTACCATCAATACACATTCTATTCGGTCAAAAGAAATAAAAAATTTTATCCTGTTACTCTACACACTAGGTTCGAACGCCAACAATTTCAATCCAGACTCCGTCCCTACATCATCTGTAAAGAGGAAAGAGTGAGTTCATTTAACTCAATACGGTACAAATCAAAATACAGGTGTGACATGCAACAATATAAATCCTAAATTCCTACCAACAGTTCACTACCGAACCCCAGTCCCCCCCCCCCCTCCTGTATCCCACAATCCCACTTACCCAGGGTTTCCGTCCCCCGACGACACCCCAGGCATGCCAGTGATACCACCCACCATCAAGATCAGCGACCATTAACCACCTATTGATCCCTACTGGGCCACGCACGCACACTATTTTCCTTCATTTTTGTCACCAACATCGGCGACCATCATCTACCCACCGACCCTTATCGGGCCACACACACACACTCTAATGATTCTCTCCCGTCACTAACATCAACGACCATTTGCTACCTCTCAACCTATACTAAACCACACACACACACACTGATCATTCTCTTTCGTCACCAACATCGGCGACCATTAGCCACCTCTCGACCTATACCAAGCCACACACACACACACACACTCTGATCATTCTCTCCCGTCACCAGCATCGACGACCATTAACTACCTATCGACTTGTACCAGGTCACGCACACACACTCTGTTCATTCTCTCCCGTCACTAGCATCGGTGACCATTAACCACCTCTCGACCTATGCCAGGCCACGCACACACACTCTGATCATTCTCGCCCGTCACCAGCATCGACGACCATTAACCACCTCTTGATCTATGCCAGACCACGCACACACACTCTGATCATTCTCTCCTGTCACCAGCATCAGCAACCATTAACCAC